AAGAATTAGAAGATACATAAAGCAGAGTTTGACTCTGTCTTATCTATCACACTATCCCTATAGCATTTAATATGGTGCTACCAAATACACGGTTTATGTTAAAACATTTGAAATCATTCCCTGTAAAGAAGAAATGTATTTTTAGCCCTTATCTCTCCTGATCTTAACCCCAATTATTTGCAACTATTTTCAGCATTATCACTTATTGTTAGTTACCATGAGTCTATTCCAATGCCTGGCAAGACATTCAGAGTAGAATTGTTTCATAATTGGTCAAGCGTTTGATCTTTCAGAAGCAAACCACCAAGCCTGCCTTTCAAGGTGCCTCTGAGTGGGTTCCAACTATATGAGACCTTTCTGAGGTAATATAGCACATGCCATGGGTGACATTGGACAGTTTTTCTTAACCTCTCCAGTTTCTGTTGCCAATTATGAATAATCATAGAGTAAGTTAAGAGTAATAATTTCATGTTTGAGAGTCTCCGTGGGTCAAGGCAGACTGTGTGGTCTTTTTTCTCTCCAGGAAACACTTGTTTACCTCTGCACCCTTATCTCTGAGTTAACTTGGCGAGAAAGGATAGAAGCAGCCAGAGAAATGGTTTTTTTTGCTATCTAGCCCCGGTCTAAGGAGCCTTGACGGTGTTGTGGTGGGTTACACTGGGCTGCTGACTGCAAGCTCGCAGTTTGAACCCAGTAGCTTTTGCTCAGGAGAAAGATAGGCTTTCTACTCCTATAAAGATTGACAGCCCTAGAAACCCTAAGGGGCAGCTCTGCTCTGCCTTAGAGCGTCACCATGAGTCAGAGCCTGCTAGACAGCAGTGAGTGAGCCCTGATCGCTGTGCAGACGTCCAAGGAGGCTAGCCTAGCCACATTTCATTTCCCACTCCCACCTTCTTAGAGGCACCTGCCATTCCTCCTCCTCTCAGAGCCCTGAAATGTTCTGTTCTTTCTGTGGCCAGGGTTGACTGCTGGATAGCCATACCAGCCCGGCTGGGAGGTAAGCATGCTCAGTCGAGCGTGTCCAAGGAGATGACCAATCCCTGGGGAAGTGGTTCACTTGTAAGAATTTCACACCATGCACTCTGGCACTGCCTCTGCCCAGAAGGGCTGGGATGGCCATACTGAGTGTAGAAAGAAGAAACTGAAAAGTCATGACAGTGAAACATCATTAACTAATTTTCTTCAGTGGAAACAAGGAAAGTGCAGTTGTAATTTTCGTGGAGTGCCATATAAAGTAAAAGATTAATAAGCTTGGATTGTGTTTTGTGGTCGATATTTTGTAAAGTTTTTTAAAAGATGGGCTTGAGATTTCAGTGCATGCAGTCGTTTTTTGTAGATTGCCTCTGTGAACAGTCATGCATTTGACTAGTAAAGTGCGTAACTGTTTTCATCATTCGGTCATAGGTTGTTAGTATTCTATTGCCGAGTCTAGGTGTTACAGATTAGACTGTTCTGCCAGGTTTTCTGGGCTGTAATCTGCGTGGAGCAGGAGCCCTAGTGGAGTAGTTGGGCTGCTAACCACAAGGTCAGCAGTTGAAAACCACCAATTGCTCCGTCAGGAAAAGGTGACGCTTTCTACTCCCACAGAGAGTTACTGTCTTGGAATCTAATAGAAGCAGTTCTACCAGGTCCTTGGAGGGTCGCTATGAGTCGAATTAACTGATGGCAGTGAGGTTTTTTAATCTTTGTGAACATAGGTCATTGGACTGTTTCTTTCATAGAGTTGCTGGGTGGGTTTGCACCGTCACCCTTTCCATTACCAGTCTGGAGATAATGATTGAGATAATGTGTGGGATGTGTGTGAAAACAGAAAGTTGAATGGACACGTTTGATATTATACATTTTAGTCTTTAAATTACATATGTATTTTGAAAAGGGGAGGGTACTTTATTTTCAAAAGTAGTTGAAAGAGCTAGAGTTATGGACTGAATTGTGCGCTGTAAGCCCTAACCCTGCACTGTAGATCAAGGAACACTGGTGGTATAACGTTGTGGATCACACACTGGGCTGCAGAGTTACGTTTTGGGGTTTTATTAAACCACCAGTGGGAGAAAGTTGAAGCTTTATAGTCTCAGAAACCATGCAGTGACATTTCTGCGCTGTCCAATTCAACTATGAGTTGGAATTGATTCAATGGCAGTGAGTTTGATATGGTGGATCTATTTCAAATTGGTTCGATGGCAGTGAGTTTGATATGGTGGATCTATTTCAAATTGATTCAGTGGCAGTGAGTTTGATATGATGGATCTATTTCAAATTGATTCAATGGCAGTGATTTTGAATTGGCTTTGGTATGTTGTAGATTTGATCCCATTTGAGAGCAGCGTTCTTTGTTAATAAGGCTCTATCCATGTAAGGTGTTTCCTAAGCCAATCATTTAGAGATAAATTAGGAGCAGTATAGGCACAGAGAGGAACAAGCTGGAAAAAGTTAGATGTTGTGCTACAAAGAAATGGCTGAGGCACCAAAGAACAGAAATTGGAAAAAGACCCAGCAGAGATAGAAAGCCTTCCCGAAGAGCTACTATCCTGAATTTAGACTTCTAGCCTCCTTAACTCTGGATAAAATTATTCCCCTCAAAAATATGTGTTGTAGCTCCTAATCTCTATAATAAGTTATAACCCTATTTGAGAATGGGCTTTTATTCATTAGGTTAATGAGGCAGTAAGTCTTCATGTGGGATATGTTTAGTCCCTCTCTATTGAGGTATGAACACATTCAACAATCAAATACAAATAGAGAGGCAGAAACATGCACAGGATCTCTGAGGACTTCTCCCCAGAGCACACACACAAGAATTGGCAGCCTGAATTCTGACTCCTAGGCTCCTAAAATGTGAGAAAATAAGTTACTGTTTTCAGAATCCACCTACTGTGGTATTTCTATATCATAGCACTCTGAAACTAAGACAGCTAAGATGTGTGGTTTATCCTTATTTTACACATGAAGAAACTGAGGTCCATAGACTATGTAACTTTCCTAGGGTTTCATAAGACTAAACAATGTATCCTATTGATATCTTATTCAGGACTTTCCTAAGCTCTATATAGTATCATTAACCGTATATTGATTGAAAATATTTTTAATAGGTGTCAGAACACATTAAAAAAAACATATAGTGCCTTGAAAACAGTAATAAGCCACAGCCATCAGGTTGGTCCCAGCTCATAACAACGCTATCCATAGAGTTTCTAAGGCTAGAACTCTCTATGAGAGCAGACATGTCCTCGTTCTTCTACGGAGCAGCTGGCGTGGGTTTGAACTGCCGGCCTGTTGTTAGCAGTCCAGTGCCTCTCTGGTACTACCAGGGGGCTCTTTTTAAAACACGAGTAAATAAATTAATACATTATGTGGTAATTATTTTATCTCCTGATATTTGGGAGTGTGTGAAGGAAAATAAGTTGAAAATGGCACTCCTTCACAAAAAGATCGTAAAGCTCCAAAAAGGAAAAATAAAGAAAGTGCATTAAAAATATATTAGTGGTAAGAGTGGTGATACCAGGAGGGAAGAGGGAAGGGGGGGCAGAAAGGGAACCAATTACAAGGATCTACATATAACCTCCTCCCTGGGGGATGGGCAACAGAAGAGTGGGTGAAGGGAGATGCCGGGCAGTGTAAGATATGGTAAAATAATAATTTATAAATTCTCAAGGGTTCATGGGGGGGGGGGGCAGGAAGGGAGGGGAAAAATGAGGAGCTGATGCCAGGAGCCCAAGCGGAAAGCGAGAGTTTTGAGAATGATGGGGGCAACGATTGTATAGGTGTGCTTTACACAATTGATGTATGTGTGGATTGTGATGAGTTGTATAAGCCCCAATAAAATGATTAAATATATATATATTAGACCTTGTATGAAAAGCTATTATAATATTTAAGCTTCAAATAAATGAACAACTAAGAAAATTACTATGGGTACAAAGAAGCTTTTAACTAAAATAATGCTATTTCTGATTAATAGAAAAGGTGAGAAGTTTGATTATTTTAATTACCAGATAGGATTTAAGCAGAGAATATAGTGCAGCTCAAATTTAAATGTGACAGAAATTAAGAAATTAATTGGGGAAAAACTTTTCCTATTGTATTTATATGGTATGTGAAATGTCAGAATATATTTTATCGAGATTATAAGATAACATTATCTTGATATATATCACTGTATTCAATGTAGCACAGTTTTTGACCAGCAGGTATATGGCATGAACATTGACTTTTGTTTTTACAATAGGCTTTTTGTTGTTTTTTTTAAGTTCTCTAAGGATGCTCTGTAACCTTTTCTCTAGAAGAGAAAATTTGAGAATGAGGCTTTCCTGTAAAGGAACCCTGGCAGTGTAGTTGGTTAACTATTGATCTACTGACTGAAAGGTCAGCAGTTTGAACCAACCAGCCGTGCCTGGCAGAAAAGTAGGCAGCCTGCTTTTGTAGAGAACCCTGGGGAGCAGCTCCCTCTTGTCCTATAGTTGCTTTGAGTCAGATTCAATTCAATGGCAATGGGTTTGCTTGGACTTAGAGCTTTCGGAAAAGCCTAAGGTAGAATAGAGATTTAAATTCAGAACATAAAAGGGGCAAGGTTTAAGGAAGAATGTGTATATTTACAGAGCATTTATTTGAGCACTGACATGTCTTTTCAGGGCAGTGCGGGATCGGTTATGTTAGAAAGAAATACTATAGGGTAGGTAGTGTGGGGCATGGTTAACAAGAACAAAGACCTTAAGAAAAGAACCAAGTTGGGGGAATGGATAGTACTGGAGCTAGAATTTGCTCTTAAGTGAATGGATTGTTTCTTAGCCAATTATGAAATGTGAGTTTTTGTTATTTCAAACCAGTATTTTCTGTCTCTATTAATACTCACTGTATTTAAATTTAAATGAATGCTGATTAACTAGCAAAGCAAGATTTCTTAACCTAGGGTTAGGGTTAGGGATAAAGAAAAATGAAAAAAGATTGTTTAACTTGCGGAAAGTACCTGCCATGTATTCTTATGTTTTGTTTACCTTTTCTAGTCGACGCCCTTACACCTAGCAGCAGGCTATAACAGAGTTCGAATAGTTCAACTTCTTCTTCAGCATGGTGCTGACGTTCATGCAAAAGACAAAGGGTAAGTGTATCACTGTGTTTCCGTTCAGCGGGTACCTTCGTAGATCGTTACTTCTTTGATTTTCATCATTTGGTACTCTAAACGTTTTAAGCACTATGCAAAGAAAAATCCTATGTCCCATTTCTTTACAGCTTTACCGCACCTTCAAAATGTTTACACTATTGACATCAGCCTATATTTTTCAGGCTTCTATTAAGGATATTTCCCACTGATAAGTTTAATTTTATTACAGTACACTTTGAACTTAGGAGTTGTTTCTCTCAATTCCAATTATCTTTTAAACTCCTAAGTTGTATTTCAGAAAAATAGATAAGAGAAGAAGTTTCTGATAATTCAGTAGCATAGACATCATATTCATCATGTACGAAAGGGTTCTCTCTTATGGATGAACCAAAATGATAAATGTAAAATATTCTCATTATTTCTTAATGAAATAGTAAACATCAAAATGAGAAAATCATAAAATGTCCTTAAGAAAGCATGGGTTCAGAGGGAATAGGAAGAAAATGGTTAACACATTTGTTTTATGAATGGATGGGTTTGGAAAACACTGTAACAGATTTTTATCTAGAATCAAGTGATAATGAATTGCCTCTGCTATCCTAAGAGATACACTAACATTTCATTATCCTGATTTAAGATGCTTAAGGCTAATTGATCTACTATCAAGTTAGTTTCATATTACAGTCTTGTGAATGGGCGGCTAGAGGAGAACGTTTCTTCCGCGCTTCCCTTTCCATGTCAGGACTTGGAAATGGAGGAATTGGTACATGAGACAGTTATCAGAAGGAGAATCCAACCATCTCAGTTCTGCACTTCTGGTTTCTGTTTCCCTCTTGACCTTGCCAGACTTAGTTCCATATGTGAATGATGTCCCAATAGTATAGGGGAGGGGTCGGCAAACTTTTGAAATGGAAGGGCCAATCCTGTCCTTCACAACAATTTAAAAATTATTAGAAAGCCATAAATACATTTTACAAACAAATGAAATCACTACTATCTGAACAACACCCTTTAGATTTTTTTCAAATTTACTTCAGAGCCACACGTACAAACCGAAGAAGCCATATATGGTTCTTATGCTGCAGTTTGCCAACCCCTAGTATAGGGATTTAACTATCCAATGCTCGTGTGCATCTCTGTTTCCTTGTACATGTCTGAAAACAGATGGATGCACAAGAGGTGAGTCGTCAAGAGAGCTACTCCACGGAAATAGGGGCTTCTCACCCATTTAGCACGATAACTGATCGCAAATTGTAGTATTTAGGCATTTGGTTCTTCTAACTGAAGTGACTGTGAAAGTGAATGAAAAGTAGGAATATTTCAATTCACTATCAGTATTGTTCTTTGGTATATATGAAAGCAGGTGATTATTAATAAGCATGTATTCATTTATCTACATGTCCTTTAGTTGTTTTTATTGTGAAGGATTATGATTAAGGATTATATCATGTTTGAATGCAAGCTATATTTTAAATTTTTATTTTTATCAAAATTTGAAAATATTTTTGAGTTTAATTATGTTGGAGCTTTCCACATATTATTTCTTAGCAATTCATGAATAAATAACAATAGACTGTCTGAAATTAAGTATTTTAATTTGCCTTTGTCATTTAGTGGACTTGTGCCTCTTCATAATGCATGTTCATACGGACATTATGAAGTCACAGAACTGCTGCTAAAGGTAGGAGAGATGGGAAGTATTGGTTACTATTCCCTTGTTATTTTTCAATGTATTAATGAATGCTTACTGGCTAATAAGATTTAGGCGCCTTTGTGGCATTTAGTGGCTATGCATTGGTGTGCTAGCCGCAAGGTCAGCAGTTCGAAAACACCAGCTGCTCCATGGGAGAAAGATGGGGCTTTTTGTTCCCGTAAAGAGTTACAGGCTCGGACACCCACAACTGCAGTTCTATCCTGTCCTATAGAGTCACTTTGAGTTGAAATTGGCTTGAATGCAGAGATTTTGAGTGAAAATCAGTTTCAAAATAATGTTACCATTGCCTTAAAAAAATTTTAAAGCATTTAATTCAGTTCTTTAAGCTGCTTGTTAAAGCTGAGAGTAACATATTTATTGATATTTCAGAGAATTATAGTTGGAGTTTGTAGTGAAATTAATGACTTTTAAGGTATTTTCATCCAGTGAAATGATCACTAACCTAAATCTTTTTTTCCTCATTTCAGCATGGAGCTTGTGTTAATGCTATGGATCTTTGGCAGTTTACACCACTACACGAGGCTGCTTCTAAGAACCGTGTTGAAGTGTGCTCTTTGTTACTCAGTCATGGTGCAGATCCGACCTTAGTCAACTGCCATGGCAAAAGTGCTGTGGACATGGCCCCGACTCCTGAGCTCCGGGAGAGACTGACTTGTAAGTATTTGTTCGTTGATTCTCTAAGCTATATATTCCCGGTTGTAAATTGAATTGCCTAATTTCTCCGGCTTTAGTAGGGCTAGTGTCCTGTCTAAACTTAGGTAATGTTCTTCATATGCTTTTCTTCCCTAATCCCACAGAAATATTATATTGGACATGTACTTTATTTTGTATTTATTTATACCTACTTCTAATTTATATGTTGAGACTCCTTTTTTAAAAGGCTTAAGAGAATGAGTCAACCCACAGCCATTTATTATTGGCCAGGCACAAGGCACGCAGCATTTAACAAAAGATAGCAGGACTAAAAGAACTCTCTAAAGCCCGCAGAGCTTATATTCTTGTGCTGTTGGTAATAGATAATAGCTGCCATTTTGAGCACCGTTTCCCAAATACCGTATAAGCACTTTACCCATATTTTCATTTTTTAATTAACAAGTCATTTGCATCTAGTGGAATTCCTCTCTTTTTCCATATATAGTTCCATGAGTTTGACAAAGTTAAGCAGTTGATATCATTTGTTTTATGAATGGGTACATTTTGGCTATGTGAGAAACAAAGAGTTCTGATTTTCCCACTAAGTTCCATCACCTTCCAAAATTTGCATGTTTCTTTAGCGTCAGCTCCTCCTTGGGTTCTGGAGGCATTTTGAGACTGCATCTCATTTTCTAGATACTTACGTAAATATGTTCATTTAAATTCCTGAGAAGAATCTTTGTTAGCTGTTCATGAAAAGGCATAGTCAAAATGATTCCGGCATCATTTGTTTTAGCTAGTTTTAAGCTAGTTCTTTTAACTGAGGAAGAGTTCCCTGCAATTTTGATCTGGTTTCAGCGGAAATGTAAACGTATTTTGGTACTTGAACAGATGACATGTAACAGATTACCCACTAGCACAAACCAGATTGGAAATTAACCCTTTTAGTAAGGCATTTATTCACTTTCCCACCCATATGACATGGACCATATGCTGTCTTGCATGTTATAGTTTATTTTTCTATGCGTATGTTTTATCTTACCAATACAACTTAAATTCTTCCTGAGAAAGACCATTGGTTTATTTTTGTTTGTCGTCTTAGCACTTGCACAATACCTTGTACCTAATAAAACTGTGTTGATGGCATGTGTTAGGGCCTATATATCAACCTCCCCTAACCTAACTCACTGGTATTGTGCATAGTATATGGTCAGCAAGGTTATTGAGCTAAATTTTCCATAAGTTTCTTTGCTCTTTCTTTTATTTCCTTTTTTTTTTTTTAGTTAGTATCTTAGGTTTCATGTTACCAAACAGTATGTGTTTTCATGGGAGCTCTGGTGCCACAGTGGGTTAAACACTGGGGTGCTGCCAGAAAGGTCAGTGATTTAAACCCCTCAGCGACTGCAAGAGAGAAAATGAAGCTGTCTGCCCCTTTAAAGGTATAAAGTCTTGGAAACCCAAAGGAGCAGACCTCCTCTGTCCTATAGAATCATTTTAGGACTTGATGGCCATGGGTTTTTGTGGAACTATCCTGCCAGCATATAGTGAGCTATTACCTTTGTTTAAGAAACTGTGAAGGATTCCAGTGTGTGGGTATGCCATGACTCATTTTAATTCATTACCTTTTGCTGAATGTTTTGATTGACTCGGTTTTCAACTGTTGGTTCAGTGAGTTTCAATCTGTGTGTCTGTGTGGACTCTAAGAATGACTCATCTTCTCTCAGAACAAAAACTTTAATTTTTCCCCATTAATTGGTACCTCCTCCTTCTGCACTTTTATCATCATATCGCTAAAATTAACAGGAATATATAAAATTCGTTTCCCTACTTATTTGTAACTATGCTAAAAATCTCTATAAATATTAAATTTTTATATATCAATCCTTATTTCATGGACAGATGAATTTAAAGGTCATTCTTTACTACAAGCAGCCAGAGAAGCCGACCTAGCCAAAGTTAAAAAAACACTTGCTTTGGAAATCATTAATTTCAAACAACCCCAGTCTCATGAAACAGCACTGGTAAGATTTATTGTTAATTCATTCCTTGGTGTCCAACTGTAATGGAAGCACAAAATAGGATCGCCGTTTCAGAAGTGAAAAAGTAATTTTAGTGTCTGAAAGACCATGAATTTGCATTTTAATGTTGGTTGCATTGATTTTTGCATGTGGTGTGGTTGATAATTGTACTCATAGGTGAGAGAATAAATAGTCATCTGCTCAACTTTGATTCAGGAATTATTGTTTTCCCGTTGTCTTTACACACCCTGGTGGTGTAGGTGTTATGTGTTGGGCTGTGTTCCCATGGTCAGCAGCTCCCAACCACAGCAGCTCTGCAGGAGAAGTGGGTTTTCTACTCCCATGGACAGTATAGTCTCACGACACTCACAGGGGTTTGCTGTGAGTCGGCACTGACCCGATGACAGTGATTTTGCTTTGCACACCATATTATAGCAAACTTACTTTGCAATCGGTGCTTCATATTATAAGACACGACTTTTCCTTATAGAATTTTTTTTCTTGTGGTTGCTAGATATTTACATGCTTATTTTTTGTAGAAGCTTAAATATGTTTTCAAAGAAACTTGTACCATCCGTTTGAGTAATTATATTGAAAGAACTGATTATATTCATCCCAGAAAAATGATGACTTTTGAATTTTCTGTTCCAGGCTATAAATTATCTTTAAAAGTATTTATGTTTTTTCTTCTAATGTACTTTCAGAAATATTACTTCATTTTCCCTGTCATTGACCACATTAAGGCACAGATACAAAGCTAGTTAGAGATTGCCACTTCTGAATTCCAAATTTAAGCATATGTGCGTAAACTTCTAAGTATCTGTAGGTCAAATTCTCCCAAATCCCTGACACAGTGAAACTTTAGTTAATATCTGCTGAAGACAACAACATTACAAAGCATCACCAAACTGAAATGGGCCAATATGTGTTTGTTTAAGTATTTGTATGACCTTCATACTGAAGCTCACATGTACTCCATACACTCAAGTTACACAGCATGATTCTAGGAGTCCTGAGGTTCTTAGCAACAGACTAAACCTGCCCTGCTTCCCTGATGTGTTCCTGTCTATCACCTTCTCACTGATCCATGACCTAAGCTTGTTCTCCTGCAGTACTGGGAGTCCTTTGAGAAAGGTTTGAGAAATACTGACTTAAGTGGCTGACCGTCTAATGAAGGATTGAGTAATTTAGTTACAGATTTTTGTTGCTTTGGAAAGCACTATTCTCATGCCTTCAGTAGGATATGTATATACTGGGATAATTATTTTATTGGCTAAAGGAAAAGGAATAAAGTCTCTACATGTTTAATTAAGACCATCATTTCACCATGATTTAAAGGCTGTTTTGTACTTGTATATCCAGAAGAAATTTTTATTTTCTCCATAATTTAAAATAACAGCCTTCTAGCTAATCAATAGATGCTATTTAGACCAGACGTTTACTTTTAAAGAGAAGTTTACTGTATTAACTTAGTTTTGTTTATTTTACAGCACTGTGCTGTGGCCTCCCTACATCCAAAGCGAAAACAAGTGACAGAATTGTTGCTTAGGAAAGGAGCAAATGTTAATGAGAAGAATAAAGAGTAAGTGTAATTTCAGAAGGAATTAATGAGCTATTAAAGAGAAAAGTTAAAATAGAGGAAATGACTTTTTCTGTTTGTACTCTATAGTTTCATGACTCCCCTGCATGTGGCAGCTGAAAGAGCCCACAATGATGTCATGGAAGTTCTACATAAGCATGGAGCAAAGGTAAGATACAGACCGGGAAAGCAGTGCCAGACGCAGCCGTACCTGTCATGTCATTTTGTAGAAAGCAAGTAAAATGCAGCTACTGTCATAGCATTTGAACTAGATTTCAACTTTGCATTATGATTATTTTTTTTAGTAAATCACTTTATGGGCTCCTAGAGCTCTTGTAACAATCCATACGTCAATTGTATCGAGCACGTTTGTACATATGTTGCCATCATCATTTTCAAAATATTTTCTTTCTACCTGAGCCCTTGGCATCATTTTAAGATTATATAATTAATAGAATTTGATAGCATTACTGTGTTTATCATAAAATGAGTTCAGTGAGTGATAGAAAGTTACATCTCTATTTTGAAATTTGTAAGATTTTCTATATTCCTTCAGATTGCCTCTTGGTAATTTTCTCAAAACCCTCTGTACTATATAATTTTTTTCTTAAGTAATTGGCATCATTTGATTGTTATTCTCTGAAACCCTACAGATCTTTTGAGGAAAGAAAAGAAACAAATAGGCTGTTTTTCACTTATAAATTTTTCAATTTTTAAGAGATTCTTTAAAGAAAAAACGTATTTATTTAAAACCAGTTGCCTCCAGAAAGCAGGGTATACACACCTTCTTGTGTATTAAAATAAGCCATCGGACAAGGGGGAAATAGCTTAATTTTTATTATTTTTAAACGAGCAAGTTAAAATCTACAAATACTTCAATCTACACATTGAAGCTAGCACCCCCACTACGTCCATGTGTCAGCTAGTCTCAGTTGTGTCAGACATGACGATTTCCCTGAGGGTCAGTGGGGCTTCACAGAATAGAAGGCTGGACAATGGCAAACTCACTTGTCCTCTGACTTTCAGCACACTGTGACCTATTGTGGTTTATACGTGTCCAAATGGGTGGATCTGTGGATATAACCCTAAATGATAGAGCTTTTGTAAATACCGTACTTGGTTACTAGAAGGAATATAGTCTTGACAGCCTTCTACATCATGGCAAAGTTCTCTGGTTATTTTATGAAATAATATTTTAAAGAATTGTCATACACAGTGAAGGATTGTTCCTTTTTTAAGAAAAGGATTTAAAATTTAGTGATAATTCTGAGATGGCAAGTAATTTTTTTATTGAACATCATCTATTCATTTTATTTTATTGGGGGCTCTTACAGCTCTTATCACAATCCATACATATATCCATTTTGTCAAATACATCTGTACATACGTTGCTATCATCTTTTTCAAAACATTTTCTTTCTACTTGAACCCTTGGTATCAGCTCCTTATTCCCCCCCTCCCTCCCCCATGTCCCCTTGATAATTTCTGATTTTTTTTCATGTCTTATATTGACTGCTGTCTCCCTTCATCCCTTTTCTGCTGTCCATCCTCCTGAGATGGGGGACACATGTCAATTTTGTGATAGGTTCCCCCTTACTCCCCACCTACCCTTACCCTCCTAGTATCGCTGCTCCCCGTTTTGGTCCTGAGGGGTTTATCTGTTCTGGATTCCCTGTGTTGTGAGCTCCTATCTGTAGACCAGTATACATATACTGGTCTAACCAGATTTGTAGGATAGAATTGGGGTTGTGGTAGTGGGGCAGGGGGAGTGGGAGTGAGTGGGTGGAGAAAGGATTAAAGAACTAGAGGAAGGTTGTGTGTTTTGTCGGTGCTATATTGCACCCTGACTGGCTTTTCTCTTCCTTGTGACTCTTCTGTAAGGGGATGTCCAATTGACTACTGATGGGCTTTTGGAGTGTAAAGAAAAACACATATTTAGTCTTGGTTATGAAGCCATGGATGCCAATTGCTCATCCTCGGCCGTTTACCCATCCCTGATTCCAAAGTAGTAGAATATCCATCAGGGTGTATCTGGTGGTCAATAAGTTAGAAAAAGTTCCCTCTTAAAATCTGACTTGGCGACAGTTGGACACCAGTTTTGGTTTGTCCCCCATTTTCTTTCCAGGAAACTCATGGGTTTGATTTGTTTGGGAGCAACTTATGATTTCCAGTTAGTTCTAAGTACCTCTTGAATGAGCAGTCTCACCCCATAATTAGAATTCAGCCCTCCTAAACTGTTACCACTTCCTTGTTTCAGATGAGTCAGCTTCTAGCACTGTTAAATCAAAACAAAAGAATTTGGAGAGGGGTCTAATTAACCATTAGGTAATTTATCATACTTGGAGAGAGAGAACTTATTTATAGTTATACAAATCAAAACATTCTTTTGTACAAAATTTTCTGCTAAATACAAAATTCACGTTTACTCTGCATTTTTTTAAAAGATCACTTTATTGGGCTCTTAGAGTTCTTATAGCAATCCATACATCGATTGTATCAAGCGTAATTGTACATATGTTGCCATCATCATTTTCCAATCATTTACTTTCTATTTGAGCCGTTGGTGTCAGCTCCTCTTTTTATCCTCCCTGTCCCCCTCCCGCCCTCATGACCCCTTGATAAATTATAAATTATTTTTTTCACATGTCTCCCTTCCCCCACGGTTTCTGTTGCTCTTTCCCTTAGGGGGGTGTGGTTATGTGTCAATCATTGTGATTGGTTCCCCCTTCCGCCCCTCTTCCCTCCTCCTTTCCCCTACCCTCCTGGTATCACTACTCCCATTTCTGTTCCTGAGGGGTTTATCTGACCTGGAGTCCATGTGTCCTGCGCTCTTCTCTATATCAGGGTACATGCTCTGGTCTAGTCTGAAGTGAAAGGCATGACTGGGGTCATGATAGTGGGGGGTGCGGGAGCCTCAAGGATCCAGAGGGACATTATGTGTTTCATTGGTTGACTCATCCCTTCCTTGTGACCCTTCT